TGCTAGCCGCTGCACCATAAATGTTGTCGTTGGTGCTGGTCATGTGACTTTTCTGTTGATGGATGCAAAAAAAAAAAAAAAAAAAAATCATTGAGAATCATTGCCTGCCTTCATTTATTCTGCTACAGTCAAAACAGAGAAATGCGCCGAAAAACACAATGTTCCAGCGAGTGAACAAAACAGCCGGCGAGTGAGACATACATTTTTTTGTCAATTCAACAGTCTCCCCCCTCGAATCATTTCGTAGCAGTTGATATCCCAGAAGTGTGTCTATACGGTCCCATCTCGTGTTGGCTGGCATCTAATCGCATGTATCGAAGTCTGATCCCGTGTGACGGATGCGTCTGGAGAGTGGGACCTTAACAGTCGTTAATTGAAAATTGAGACAATGTTTAGATGACGCTATTGATTTTATCATGGCATGAGGCAGCCGTGTTGCGCTGAGAAATGAGCGTGAAAGAGGAACAACAGGGGGGAAAGAGGAGTGGGGGGGTGGAGTCATAAATACACTTGGAAATGCTTCTGATCTGGAACCTTAAAGCCGGGTTGAGCAAGACCATCGAGTGGCTTTTCTTCGTTGATCGATCGGATGGCAGCGAGACGCTCCCGTGGCTGTTTACAAGTCAACATAACCCCGCCCCGAAGCAAGCGACGGAGCCCGCGAGTCATGTTTTAGCCCCTCGGCGTGTTTCAACGCCTTTGGTGGCTTTCAAAGCAGCCACAAGGGTCGGCTCGATCAACAGGACACAACATTAGGTACAGCTACATGAGCCAATGCCACAGCAATCTGCCTTACGAAGACAATGCTGACCACCTTGGCCTGAAATGATCATTCGAAACCGTAACCCTACTTTGAAGACCCTAACCTTGGGTTGGAACCCCAATATGAAACCAGGACCCTTTACATCAACCCTAATCCTTGTTAAAAACCCTGCCCCAGGCTGTAGACACAACTTAGTAACCCAAATTCTGTCTTGAAATCCTAAATTTCCCGTCAAACTCTTAATTTCTTGAAACTAAAACTCAGGTTTGAAACATTAACCATGAATGGAAAACCAAATTTAAAACCATAACCCTGGCTTACAACCCTAAACTTTGTTTAGACCCCCAACTCCCACTCTTAAAACGGCTGGGTTAAAAAAATTCGTTTGAAAAAGTTATTTTTAACCCAGCCGTTTTAAGGGTGTTGGCTTGTAACCCCAATTTTGGCTTGTTGCCTTATTTTGAAATCCTTACCCATAATTGAAACCCAAACTCATGGTTTCAAATCCAAATTTGAAATAACCGCATTCAAACCTCTAAACCAGACTTGAAACTAAACTTTGAAAAATCACTAATACTGTCCTAATTCCTACAATCCTTTGAAAACCAAAGCCAGGCTTCAACTCCTAACCTGAACCTTTCATTAAAACCCCAACCTTGGCTTCAAACAGCCCTTAAAATCCATAAAGTGGAAAAATTTGATTTCACACTGCCAGAGATTCATTTCACTTGAAGGTTCGGATTTTTTTTTTCTTTTTCAATGCATACACTGTCGTAAATGTTATTAGATAATCTATACAATCGGCACATGATTACTTCTTAAAGGCTATATTGAGGACACAGTGCTTGTAATGGACCTGGATGGCGACGGGTGAGAATATGATTGGAAAAATTGATTCCCTACACTGTCACAATTTTTAAATCGATATGAGATGGATATTTGGCGCACATCGTTTGGATTACTTACTATTTGAATCGGAGGATGAATAAATAAGTCATTTTAACTTCAAAATAAATAACAAATCCAAAGACGAAAACAAGGTAGCACTGACACAGTTGTGCTTTATTGCTGTACAGGTACAGTACTTATAAAACATGATAAACAAGAAACATCACATACAATCAGTTTTTTTTTTCTTTCCACAAACACTAGAATGCATCTTAAGATTTGCTGTAAATTATGTACAAATAAAATTTGAATTAAAAAAAAAAATCTAAATAGTGAAAGACATCGGTGTGAAAGCGCACATTGGGGTTAAAAAAAACAAACAAACTGAAAAGTGTTAGCGGGATGTAGCACCAGAGATACATTGGTCGACTCCTGATGCCTCAAAACAATTCATTTTGGCTGATACAAAAAGATGTGTGTATGTGAGGCATCTATATGAATGTATGTGTGTGTGTGTGTGTGTGTGCGCCCCCGTGGGCAGCTTGTACTGTAGACAGATGACGAGGCATGAGACGGCGCGGTGATTCACAGCACGATGGGAAGCGGTCGGTCATGTATTACGTCTTAATCTTTTTAGCGTGTTTTAACAGCTGGGACTTTATCTGCTTGATGTGTGGTCATACAAACGCTGTCGTTAACAGTAACAATCAGAATGCCTGCGTAACCGTGGCAACCTCCATAACTGAGCTAAAATGTTGCTTTCGCCGAACTGTTTTTCCTTCCATCGAGGGGTACGGTTTGGTACGCTGAATCCATCGTTGTTCCTCAGTGGATGACAAGGGGGGTCAGCGGTAGTGTGGTGCTACGCACGGCTGCCTTTTGTGCGACCGCCATTCAACTCATTACTGCTCAGTGGCCACCGGTCGAAATGTGAATGTTTTTTTGTTTGTTAGTTTTTTTTCTTTTTAATAGACTCACTGGTTTATGTCATGCTACACAAGGCTGAGCGTGAACGCTTGGGACAGAATAATAGCGAGTCGACTTGAACAGACTCCGAAGGTCAACCGGAATCAAGCGCTGAGTTGGCGTGTTTTTTGATTGGATATTTGTAAATAAAATGATTTTGTTTTTGGGGAGAAGAAAAATGACTTGACCCATGTTCATCTGGTGAAGACTAAAGAAGGGAAAAAGAGGGCACTATTCTGCGAGTCTTGAAAAATCAGTCACGATGCTCCCAAAAGCCAGCACAGGTGGCTCGCAGTGAATATGCTGAGTCGCTACGCCAAGAATTAGGGGATGTAGTAAGACACGGGTGTCAAACTCATTTTAGTTACCGTTTTACTTGGAGGGCCGTTATGACTGAAACCATATGAAGAAGTCAAGAATAATTGTTGATTCAAGTATCGTCTAAGTTACGGTCATGAGGGGTTTGGCAACAAGACAATGCTTAAAATATATCTTATTTATTACAGATGAGAATTTAAAATTTCGGTAGACATTTTAGAAAGGATCATGGAAGTTGACATGTTTGAGCTGCTTTCGCGGGCCACATAAAATGATGTGGCGGGCCAGATCTGGCCCCCGGGCCTTGAGTTTGACACCGGTGTAGTAAGATATGAAGGGTGGGAGTGCAAAAAAAACGAGAGAAGAGCACCACGTTTGTGGGTTGCATTTGAATTGGGTAGCATGATGACATCATCCCTCTTCAAATGCAGCTTTACTCCGATATCACACTCAAATAGCTGCCAAAGTTTACGATATCTGTCAAACAGTTGCCTTCTTGCATTAGCCAGAAGTGGTTTCATCAGAGCAGTAACAGAAGATGCGGTATTAATTGTCTTTGCATGTCCACAAATTCTGCCATTTGGGCTCTGGTCCAACCTCTGAAGGAGCATATTCACTGTTCGACAGCCATTCCATGTCGGTGCCCGGAAAGCGGTCTTACAAACCACAGTCGAAATGCAAGATGTGCACCACAACAACTTGAACTCGAAACACTTGGTGGAGAGATGTTGATGGCAGATGGGTTAAAAATCCTCCATTGAGCAAGTCAATACCTCATTGGGGGGGAGCACATCATCATGATTAAACTTGAAAAAGGGATGTCGAGGTGCCAGTAATTAACACTCATCCAGTCAAACCAAGGTGGTGTCTTCTGATGTATCCTCGCGGAGCGCATCACCTTGCACGGAACACAGCCGCAATTGATCGGGAAGGCAGAATCAATCAGACGCATTGAAGATGATCAGGAGGAATGAGAAATCAATTTGAGCTATTGGTACCTTGCGGCTCGAATGATTGCGACCCATCTTCAAAGATCAGGCGGTTGTTTGAGCCCCAACTGGCCAATTGCGAGGGCAATAAAACGTCCATCGAAAAGCGACACAAACATCTTCGGATATTGGAACAAAATGGCAGGCCAGTAGACGGGAGGGATGAAAGATGATGAAATAGAATAGAAACTATTTCATTGCCATTGACGTTCCTAAAAACAAGGTATTCACATCTGTAAAACAAACCTCTCGGTCATTGCATCGAACCCAAGACATTCTTCCATCTCAGTCAGCATCAGTTTCGTCTCTGTGTTTCGACACCACTCACTATTTACACAGCAGTTACCGTGGAAACACCCGCACAGCTGGAGCCATTCGTTAAGTAGGGAGGAGGTCAAACACCAAAGGGTGGCGCGGGGCGGGCGCTCCAGAGGGTAAGAGGTGCGTACAGATTCTGGACAAACCCGGAGCACATCTGCTTCTTCTCCACCTTCACTTTTTCAACACATTCCACCATATGCATATTTCGACAAACGCGATGTGCAATCATCACTGGTGGTCATCTATCGGAGACGTGACACTTGGACGCTGACAGAAAAAGCAATGACATACGCCATTCGGAGCCGTCTCGTGTTCACCCCAAAAGGTACCGACCGGTAAGTGCAGTTGAGCGCATTCGTCCAGAGTTTGTCCTCAAAGGCCGTCGGCGAAGAGAATTGCACCTTGGGAGTTAGCCTGCTCCGTTGTTAGGGATGCTGGGCTCCTCAAAGAAATCACTCTGGAACCTGGAGTGTGTTGAAAGGCGATGGTTGAAAGTGTAAACTTGAAAAGTGGCTGGAACGCTCATCAAGTATGATAAGCAGCACCTTGTTTGGGAGGGCGGATCGTTGACCTTTTCCCTCGAAACACCAACCTTGCCATCTTCTGAAAATAAATACGACTATACATGTCCCTGGGAATCTTCATGCTTGTCGAGCTTCCACACATATCTTTCGAGTCACAAAAAGTGCTTGGTAATCGGCAGGGGTTGGAGGAGTTTTTGGCAGCCATGTTCAGAGGCCACTTGATCAGGTGTTCTCCAGTCATCCCGTCCCGGGTCATGGCGAATTCTTCCTGCTGGAGCAGAGCAGCGCGGACGGCAGGGGCGGAGACTGAGACGGCGGACGGTGCTTCCAACCCTTGTGCCCCCCGCACTGCGCCTGCCGCCATCGCAGGAGCTCTCGCAGCGTGGTGCCCGCATCCCCGTTGGAAAGACGTAGCCTCTGGAACGCCTGGATTTGGACAGAGGACCCGGATCGTCTTAGTCACGTTCCGATCGACCAGGCGAATACAGCGGAACCTCTAAAGCCGAACGGCTTGAAATTCAACCGCGCATTGTTGATAGAAATCTGGAATTCAGGCGGGGTATAGAAAATAACTTGATTTTTAGTGGGAAGAATACCGTCAACGTTTTTAATTTTTTTTTTTTCTATGGATCATGAAGCAGACATGCAATTTTTTACTGAGCGGCTTTTGATTCTGACTATGCAAATTCAACAATACAATCCTACACACTGCCTGTGGGGACTGGAAAAAAAAAATTAGAATACCGTTAACGTTTTTAATTTTTTTTTCTTCTATGGATCATGAAGCAGACATGCAATTTTTTTACTGAGTGGCTTTTGATTCTGACGATGCAAATTCAACAATACAATCCTACACACCGCCTGTGGGGACTGGGGAAAAAAATTACAATTGTTGCCAGGTAAAAATCGAAATAATTCTTGACTTAAGAGTGGTCACTTTCTTTCTTCCTCTCTCCGATCATTTCCTATTTCCGAGCGTCGTCTGCGTGAACTGATTTTGCTCGAATTTAGAGGTTCCACTAGAATGACTTTTTGGTCATAGAGGACCTTAAGTTAAATGATGAAATGATTTGGAGGTTGGTAGCAAAGCGCATCGTGGACGGCAAGCAGATGGGGATGGTACGCAAGGAGACAAAATCAAATAAATGGAGCAAAAAGATTGAGCACGTGCCATGCTCCAATCAGGCAGCCATGAGAGACCGAAGCCCACAATACGGGAAAATTAGGACACGGCTATCAACTAGTATCGGAAAGATGATGATGATGAATCCACTGCCGGTGCGCCGCTATCCCTCCCGAGATGATCGACGTCAAACTGAGGCAGTTAGAGAAATCCCCCGTCTGAGTGACGACTCCACTGGATGTATCGCCTCAAAGTGGATCGTGTGTTTTTACAGTTGAGGTCATTGAGCGGGGGGACGTTCTCCGGTGTCCCTTCACAATGCACAATCACACACACACACACGTGCCCAGAGAACATCAGTCATCCGCGAGTGAATATGCAGGTAAATCAATCAGAGATGGGAATTCCAATCTGCCTCAGTCAGTAATTCCAGAAACAGGACTGGAGCATGGCTGATCCATACCAGAAGAGGACACGGAGGTTATATTTGATAGATGACATCACATTTACATGCAGTGAGTCACAAGCCTATGACAACATAATCGACTTGAAAACTTCCGTGAAAATCCAGTTTACCTGCACAATCTCATACAGGAGCTGCGACCGAAATTCAGCCTTGAAAGATCAATTCCGCAATTCTATTACAGTGTTTGGCCTTTGGTCGGAGTGCTGTAGAATTGCGTTGCATGAAACCAGGGATTTCTAATATTTTGATTCCACTGGAGCTCAAGGGTCGGTGACTTTAATACTGCAGACGGCCATCATTTTTCATTGGGGAAAAATGTTAAAATTTTACTTTTCAACCTGGTCTCATAGCCCCCGTTCCCAACTTTTGGATGGTGCTATAGCTTCAGCAGGGATTATTACTCTGCCTAAAGTCCTGAACATGAGAGTGAGAGAGTGAGAGAGCATTTGATAAGGCCGGCATGCCTCAGAGTTCGTGTCCCCGTTTAACCCGAAAAGTCGAGGTCATTCCGCGCGCGGTGCGGTCAAGTTCTTCCACTCCACATTAGGAAAACAAGGATTTTTGTGGACTTTCTGCAACAGAGGGATTCTTCCGTTTAAACCGAGGTGGGCTATCAAACACAGGTCACCAAAGGGTCATGATGAAGGCCGTATCGTGAAATGTATCCTATTAGATGAGTGTTTCTTAGACGGGAGCCACTTTGTCTCCACTAATTTCTTAACGACAAGCAAGAAGCTGAACACAAATGCCCGATTGAAAACAAAAGGTACAAATGAAGGATGTAGACAAGCAGGAGCCTCACTTGTTCTGGAATCAGATGCTAGCGATAAGAAGAGATCCGTTTCCAGAAGAGTTTGAGCGGAAAGAAAATTCCGATGTGACCCCAAAAAAAAAAGTGTCCCAAAAATGAATTAAAAAAAGCTGAGATGATTGATGAACTTTAGCTAAGGAGTTCCACAGGAAAAAAAAAAAAGATTCAAACAACGAAGATGGGATTCCCATCAGGACTTTCGTGAACTCACAATGGACTCGATGGAAGCATCGTCACAGAATGAATTTCCGGATGGACTCACCACATCCCCCACATGTGGACTGCGGCTTCCAGTAAGCTCCCAATCCCTGCCCATACCCCACCCCACCCCCAACACCCTCGTCGATTAGAGGGCGGCCCCAGCTCCAAATGGAGAAAAATTGAGATGGCCCCTCTGGAAGATAAAGAATAAAATGATAGTCTTGCGGTCATTGACTAAACGTATGAGGACATATCGACAAAATGATGATAGATCTAGAAAGCGCTCATCGAGGGCTTTAACAGGACGTGTGACTCGACGGGGTTTGTCGCACATTGATTTTTGATCTCGTTACCGGTGAACTCCGAACTTAGGCGCTTCCCCCGGGAGGCTGTCCTCCTCCTAATACGGCCACCGAGTTTGGAGGCAATGTGATTAAAATGGTGGCTCTGTTGTGTAAGATATGAACGTGGCAATACTCGAGACGATATTTATCACACAGGAAATTATCAACAACCCACAGGATGTTTGTTTTGGTGTTCCGGTGTTAATTATATGAGTGTAAATAAGCCCTAAAGCTTCATACAATAATTATTCAGACTCTTTATGGACATTTAGTCTATGTATCTCTGTGGCAGTTCCAAGGTTCCTGTAACCAATGCGCATTCTGCTTAGTTATCGGGTGTGCTATCAAACCCACGTAACAAAGCCGCATGTGTGTGTGTGTGTGTGTGTGTGTGTCAGAGTGTGTGCCGAAGACTTTAAACTCAATCCTGCAACCAAACACCTGAGTGCGGAGGCAGCGAGAGCTTGCACGTCACGGGTGGCATATGTTGCCCCAGGGAGGCCACTTTCCTCAAATTGTAAACAAAAACAGGTGGAACAAAGAAAACCAAAAGCAAAACCTGAAGACATTTCAACGTAGATGGCGCTCCTCCTTGTCGTTTGTCAGTGTGCACAGCAGTGTGAAAATACAGCACCGCTTGGAAATGGTATTAAATTAAATCACTTCAATCATTTGGGTTAATTGAGGATGAGTGCACTTTTATTCCAAATACATACTGGAAGTCGAAGTGCGTTTGTGTTTGTGCGCACGTGCGTGTGTGTGTGTGTGTGTGTGTGTGTGTGTGTGTGTTACCTGTGTATGGTGGCTATCCATGTGCCTGTGCAGAGAGGATGTGGACATGTTTGACTTGACGTGACTCTCGTCCTCCAATGAACCTGAGCACACAATTAAATGAGGCGTCCTGAATAACAAGACATCGTTATTATTAGCAGCCGTAATTAGTGCGTAATGATGAGCGATTTAAGGATTTTATTTGTTGACACTACCGCTTGGAAAATGATCAAATTGGGCAACGGAGGCGGAGTGCAAGCAGTACACCGTAGGATGAAAGGAAACAATGGTTTGAAATGCAAAAAAAAAAAAAAAAAAAAAAAAAAAAAGGAGTCCACCTACCATTAGATATCTGGTTGCCGTTCTCAATAGGGGCGTGGCTCGACGAGTGAACAGAATGGTTGTTGGCGTTCTTGTCCTGTAGCTGCAGTGATGGCGAGGATGGGGCGGAGCCACAGTCTTCGTGGCCGGGTAAATTGATGTTGGAGTTGAAACCTGGGAAGAACACACCCACACAAATAGATCCGGATTTGCCTTTGTGGAGTTAAGCAGATTTATTAACTCTGCCAATTATTGTGATTTGTTAGATAGCAGGATTACACAAAAATAGCTCACTTAAAAAAAAAAAAAAAAAAGGCTCATCTACTACTAGCTTTGGTTCTTTCTGCGGTAAACTGCAAAAAACCCGACCTGAACGAGTAGGCTATTTTTAATTCTTGGCGAGGAGACAAATGTTAGAAAGGTCATTGAAAATGGATCATAGCAGCAAAGTGGAGAATGTGGAGTATGCAGTGCCCAGAGTGAAGGAGCAACAACAGGGTAGGCTAACATTAGCACGTGTTTATCTATCATTTCTGGTTGTGCGTCCGAAAGTGTTACGATGGTGCTGTGACGGCGAGTCTGCTTGACAACAGTGGTTTACGTCACCCAAATGGTATTGAAACCTGGCCGAACACGAGTACTAGAAATAGCATCTTGTCCTTCCAGCGGAGAAGTCGTAGTGGCCCAAAGGTTACTTAATTGTTTATCCGAAATTTACATTGAGTGAATACATCATACTGGGCGGCACGATGGAATGTCAGCTTCACAGTTTTGAGCTTTGGTGTTCAAAATGTGCTTTCGGCCATCTTGTGTGGATTTGCGTCTTCTCCCTGTGCTTCATACTTCCGTCTGTATTTCTACAAATATGCAGGTTAGCTTAACTGAAGACTGAATCCATAGTTGTGAATGAAGCTGCGAATGGTTGTTTGTCTTTATGTACCCTACAATGGGCTGGCATCCAGTCCAAAGTGGATCTCGCCTCTCGTCCAGAGTCAGTTGGGGTAGGCTCCGTCTCACCCATAAGGCTAAATGGTGACAAGCGCTAAAGAAAAGTGGTGAATGAATGAATGCATGACACATGATTGTACAACACTAAATAATCAGCGGTGACCGCGTATCTGAAGGTTCTGATCAAATTCAGAATGTTGTGGTTTTGTCTGCCCCGCGTGTCTGTCTCTTTCCTTGTGCCGTGCAGTGTTTAGTATTCATTCGGCTGCATCTGGGCTGGAGGAAGGTGACTCCATATGACCTGGCAGCCTGTCCTCCGGGCTCACATGCTTTCACGCTGAATGAGTAATTGTCTGCGACTTCATATGTGCAGACCAGCGTGAGTGCGAAGGCGTCAACAGCCTTCCCATTCTGGGAATACGTTTCTTCTCCTCCACCTGCAGTTACTCCATCCATCCGCCCATCCACCCTACACACGCTTGCACCTAAATAGAAACACGCCGCCCTCAACCGGTGTTCCCGGTGGGCCGCCACAAGTAGAACGAGCGACGCGGTCGTGTACGTGAGAAGAGATGAGTCATGTCAGAATCACGACGACGCGACAATGTCGAAGAGTTGGCGTTGTGTTCAATTCCTGGCACGGAATGCTGCCGCTGAGGCGAGGGGGAGGCCGCGGAGACAGGAGGGGAGAGTCTTATGACAGTGATTTCCCGCAGCCTGCCAAGACCACCTGCCCTCACCCACTGGCATTCCGGAAGTGCGCTCATTCCCCAAGGATGAGGAAGGCAGCTGCTCCTCACAGAGATGTCTAGGATAGCGACTGTAACCTCTGGCCCCGCCCCCAGCGTCAGGTATCACACTGAGCCGCTTAACGGCCGAGAGGGAACGGAAGTGGAGCATCCTGTTAAGCCCGTTGGCATCCCGCCCCTCTCAGATCTAAGTGGGCCGCTTTGCTCGGCCTCCTCAAAATAACATCAAGGTTGTGATCCCCCACCACCCGCCCCCTGAAGTGCCAGCTTCCCCTGTCACAAACCCAGTTTCCATCACGCCAGCACTGTGCCTGCGTAGGAGCGCGTGATCAGCCGTGAAAAAGAGCCCGGAACGTCACGTCAGGCGAATGTGTCAGCGCCGGCGCTCCCATTCCGCCTCTTATAAGGCCTTCAGCCTCTCGCCCCCCTGAACTCGTTATGGCACCATGACAGCGGCAACCCTCGGGTAAGCAAATACATCAGCCCCGTGACGGCAACGGCGTCACGCACTTTCGCTTGAATGCGGTTCCTCTTAGATGACCGTCGAGGGTTTCCCGGTGCGCCGATTTATGCCCGTCATACTGGCTTCTGTAGAACATGAGTGAGCTGTTAAATATTTGATAGGCATCCTCATCATTCCGCCGCTCATGTATTATTAACGGCGCCACAACTAATACTCCTCCAGGAAACAGCCACTTAGATGGAAATGGCGTGAGAGGACAGTTTCCTCCCTTGGTTGGAGTATTCTCTTTAGCCCTGAGAATTAAACTTGATTCAAACCCTATGCCAGGATGTCCGCCGTTTGGCCGATTTCAAGTCTGGGCGTGTGTTGTAAAGTGTGATACATGAATACCAAGAATCTGACCAAATTTGAGCATTTGTCATCCCTTGCAAAGTCAGCAAAGAACCAATTCCCTCATGATCCTGAGAGACTATCCTGTGGTGTGTGAGTCAGTTTTAGGAGTGATTAATTCCATCCCAATCTGCTCAGAAAATGGTCAGGGCAACAACTGTAAATAGTAAACCTGTTCAATATTTATGTCAGAGTTTTGGAAATGAGTACGAGTGTGCGTCACTCCAAAAAAAGACGATGGGGGGCTATCACACAGTGAAGCGGTGATAAGACTAAACGCGATGATCCACGGACGGCACCACAAACTCAATCGTACGAGTGCGCGTCACTCCAAAAAAAGACGATGGGGGGGCTATCACACGGTGAAGCGGTGATAAGACGAAACGCGATGATCCACGGACGGCACCACAAACTCAACAAAGAATGGACAACAGTCACGAAGAAGTCAAATTATACTGCATACTGCACATGCACTGCAGCAAGGATGAAATGCGCCGCAGCTGGCAGCTATCGACAACAAGGTCAGCGATGGCTGTTACTCATTATCCGCGCTTGCCGCCGTGGATGTGGATCTTGTTTGTTTTCCCTGTGAGAAGGGTTCACATTTTAGGGGGTGTGACGAATCTTTGAGCACATTGTTGACAATGATTATATGTGGGGGGAAAATACGTTTTCGACCCATTTTAGCATAAAGGTCAGCCTTTCCATCAGCATCCCCGGGTCTCCATGCTCTAAATTACTATTTGCATTATGTAACGCCGCTTGGCAAGATAATCCCGCTCGCTCATTAGCTATCGTGATACATCTGCAGTCGCTAAAGGACGCTGCAGCTGTATTCTAAGGCAAATGGAGTCGCTCAAATGTGCCAAATAGGATGGTTTGCTAAAACACTTCCCGATATTAAAAAAAAAAAAAAAAAAAAAGAGGGGCTCGAAAAAAGAAACCCCATATGGCCAAAA